GCCAATGAAGGGAAGCCAAAACAGGAGAAATATGCTCTCTCTTTCTAGTCCCTGTCAGTACTCTTGCTGCAGCAATTGTCATAAGGAATTGTCAGAGTTTGATAAATTCTCTGACTTTTAAAGTTTTGGTATCACTCAACAGCCATGGGTTGTCCTAAGCAGCTGACTGAAGTTCTGAAACCAAAGACTGCTGATGTCTACAAAGCAGCTAATACATCAATGTGCTTTCAGCTTGCAATTTACAAAACCCAAAGAGCCATTTAAAAAAAGAAAATCATAGTTAAGGCAAACCGTGGAAGACATGAAAAATACTGGAGACCAAGAAAACTTCCAGAAAATAAACAAACAAAACTACAAATCTGCTTCACACTACAGCATTGATGCACAAACATGGTTCACATAGAAGAGTCCTCAGAGGGATAAACTAGGCAGATCAATTTAAGATTGAGTCCTATTTGAATCAAAGAAGCCTGAAAAAAGCACCTTGGCAACTGTAAAACATGGGATTTAATATATTCTGCTTTAGGGTGGTGTGGTAGTCGTTGGCAGGAAACACTGCACTGATATTAACAAATTCTGAATACGAATGTTTTTGTCTCAGGGCGTCAAATACTGCTGCTCTCTGTATACACATGAGGTGGCCTTCAGCACTGATGCCTTGGGGACATATGTGCCCCTTTACAACATTAATCTCTGGCATTGTTAGATGTTGAGAAATAATAGTCTAGTATTGAAGAGCATGTGTTATAAGGATCAAGAGGTGGCTTTGGAGTTTGACATCCATTAGGCAGCAGTTGATTTAATTCACTGTTTTGTTTTTGCTTCTGGGTTAGGTTAGCAACTGAAAAGTAATTGCTAAGGTTTGGTAAAAGATCATGATGTGAATTAAAATATCCCCCCTCGCATCAACTCTAGAGCTAAAAAACATCAAGGTCAGCCAGTGTGACCTTTACAAGCATCCATAAATAATTATTTATCATTACTGGCTGAACCAGGTGCAAGTTGGACAACTGGTGTGTAATCTTAATTTTGCCAGCGCCTTTGACAAAATGGCAATATCTGACAACATGGTTTATTGCACCATATGTGCAATAAACAGCATACATTTGCTTTAATAACATGACTTCCACTCAAATATCTTTTCACTTATTTGCCAATTTCAGGGAAATGTCTGGATGTTAACATGATTTCATTCTAGCGATTTTAATGTAAAACATAAGTGCTTCTAATATTTATATAATTTTAACCTTTTACAGGCTTGGAGATGGCAGCGAATTTTTGTTCCAGTGTAAAGACGAGGTGAGTTGAATTAAATCTGACTTTCTCCTGGACTTGAATTATTCTGGTCAAAAGGCATCTCATATAATTGCTGACCCTATGTAAAGCAGTAATCACAGGTTGCAATGCTACAGATAGCAGTTACGCATTTGCATTTAATTTTCCGAACTGTTTCCATTTAGCATTGCTGTCCATGTCTAAGCAATTTGGCAAGGTTGTAGATTCTGACATAAATGAGGTTATTCGTGTTTCTTTCTGAATCACTATCAGCTAGTGAGAAATTTACCCTACGGGAATCATTAAGCCTCACAGAATAAGAATGCTGACAGTGAGTTTGTCTTTATCTACATTACCCCAGTTTAACCTCACCAGCATTTCAAGTTTCATTGTTAAAAGCGTGGCCACCTCTGCTTGTTTATGCTAATAGACTGGGAGACCAAAACACTCACTGCCCCTCCGGAGGTGGACTTCCCTTTCTAAGCTGCTGCGATGTGTGCGTGTGTTTAATTTCAGGAAGAGCTCCAGCGTTGGAGCCAGGCCATGGAAAAGGCCGTTCAGCCCCTGGCAGCAGAGGAGGCATCGGGGCCCTCGGGGGCCAAAGCCCAGAGCCTGCCCCCTCCCTCCTCCTCAGCTGCACTCCCTGAGCCCAGCTCTGCCAAGAAAGACAAGGAGAAGAAGTTTAGCCGCTTTGCCAAGAAGAAGTGAAAGAGACGGGAAGGCCATCAGGAGGAGGGGGTTGTCTAGGCAACCTGGGAAGAGAAAGTATTGTGTACAATCAATCAAAGTATGCTTTTTGTCACTAGATTTTCTATATTATTTTGTGAGAATTACCATAAATATTGTAGTTAAAGTCATCACTCTTTTGCCTGTATTTAAGTCAGTGTATGTCTACAATGGTCCACTGTTTTTGTTTGTTCTTTTTAAGAAATGCCAAATTCAAAGCATTAAATTAAAGCACAGGAATGCTCCTCTTCACACACAACCAAAGAATGTTTGTAAAACTTTTCATTTTGATAATTTAGCTGAAGTTTTTTTGTCTTTTTTTTTTGTTTCACTAAGGCATGCTTTGATATAGCCATGTATAACATGAAGGCCTGTAATGAAGATGACTCAAGAGTACTGAAAAGTACTTTTAATAACCTGCCTTATCAAATGGTTGTGAACTGTAATACTGTGCTGTTTGAATTTGGAGCACTAAATGCTACGTAAAGAACCAGAGTTTAATAATCTTTTTTTTTTTTTTAAAGAGCTTTGTAAATGGCATGTAAGATTTGGGGATGAGAAAACCTCAGCATAGTGCTGTACAGTATATACACACACACTCTCCAAGTATATCTGCAGTTATGCAAACTAAATGCTCTATGCACTGTGAATGATTGACTTGAGATTTTAAATTGCTTACCAACATTGCACGAGCGGTCATGTGACACCACAATGTGTCAGTTTTGAATAAGGACCCATTCAGGTTTATTCTCAATTGAACTGTGGCAGTGTTCATGTCTGTCAGCTTGAAATCTATTTAACACTTGTGTAAACTTAAATTTCAGAGCTATCCATCAACATATACCGTATATACATATATATATATATATGCAGATGCATGAAGTATGCTTTACATTAGTTTGATACGGTGCTATTGTCATATTCTTAAAACTTCAAACAAGACCAACTTGACCTGCCTTGTTTGTCTTCAACTTTGGCTTGTAGTGACACACGTAAAAAGTCTGAGGGGTGCTTCATAAAGGTGGCTCAGAAAAGCAGTGGTTATTCAGGTTTATATGCATCAAGTATTAATAGCATTTACAGTCACAGATCATCTTAATTACCCTTTTAAAATGCACAAAAAAAAAGCAGAAATAAGCACAATCACTGCCATGTACAAAAGACAGCTTTTGTTATGGAGTTGTAGGTCAGTGATGAGCTCAGACTCACAAAATAGGGATCAAATCTGCAACACTGAACTGTTCATTTGGAGTTCTTTACCTGTAATTATGACTTCACGGGTTCCCGTGAGAGTAGTTTTTCTTTGTGCAGTTAAAGCTAAAACTTCAAGTGCAGTTGAAGTTTTATTGTAACGAAATATAAAAAGCAAGTGTTTTCTTTTTAGAAATCAGAACTTCTCCATCTTTGAATTTTACTACTTGGTTTGTGAAAACATGATACTGGATAAATGCCTTCAGGTGTGTACTTTTTAATTACAGAAACATGCTGACCCAAATAAGGCTAAATAAAAAATATGGGTCAAGAAGACAAAAGCACAAGCCAAGTATTTAATCTGACAAATGGGTCACGATCAAAGACAAAGTACAGGGGGTAAATGACTACACAGAGGTGCAAAACAACTATGAAAATAAAAGACCATGCAGCAGCACAACATGATGGGAGGTTAGGGGCTTTTTACATGTACTGTATTTGCCCCAGAATCCCCGTTATGTGTTCATGCCCAGCAGTCCTTGCTTTATGAAACACCCCTCTAGTCTTGCAAGTTGGATTTTATTTATTACACAAATAGAAATGCTAAAAGACGACAAAATGTTAGCATCAGAATGAACTAGAATTTAAATCAGGTGCTGTTATTCACAAAAGCAGTTTACAAGAGCCTGCATCATTATTTGAAGTTTTATAGAACTAGCCAAAGTCTAGAAAAGCAAAGGGTTGCATGAGCCTTTCCTGCTTTTCCACACCACACAACAGGACCAGGCATGCTCCCCAACCAAGGAGAGGATCGTACAGTAGCCGTACGGAGCTGAAGGAATGTGTTTTTAATATGAATGTAAGGAGTGGAAATAAGTTCATATGGGAATTTCCAACAATAAAGCCATTACAGAAATCAGCATTTTAATTAAAAGTATGTACAGTTCATGGATCTGCATTTATACTTTGATGCCAGGATGGGGACTCTGTCAGTCTCACTGCCGTTTTGCCTTGTCCCCGAATTATGATCCAACTCAAGTGACCTCACTGAAGCGATGGAAGTCAAATCTAGGAGGATAAATGTTCAGCTCGAGTGTTTTCTAGGAAACTTGGTAGCATCTCTGTCTACAGATTAAAGCAATTGTTAAGCCATGATCTTCTTGTGGCTGTATGAACACAAACTACAGAAGCTTCTGTGCGCCTTGTGCCAGCAGAACATCGTGACCATGCTACTCAAATTTTTTAGCACCTCAAAATGTTTTGAGACTTGCATCCCACAGATTCACTATGCTTTTTGTTGGTCGATATATCTACAGATTGACACTTCGACTTTGTCACCTTCATCCACACTGTTATTCCTTCACACCTTCCCTACCTGCCTTTTCTGTTTAGTGGTTTTTAAAATTGCATTTTGTACTTTCCAGGTATGTAAAATATCCAAAAATGTTGACCCTACAAAAAGAAAACAACAAAAAAACAAACAAAAACATTTTGAAATAAAGTTAAATTAAAATTATGATAATATACAAGCTTGTTTTGTTTTTGTTTTTTTTAAATGAATGCAGTCTTTAATTATTGTCACTACATCAAAAAAAAGAAAAAGTGCATTCAATTGAATTTCAGAATAGATTTATTGAGTATAAACAATTCAACAGTGGCAAGCGTGAAACAAGGCATTTTCACTTTGAGCAGTCATCCGCTCACCGAGCTAATTTCAGATAAGATGAGCTCCATATGAACATATTTAAAATACACAAAACTGTTGTATTTACATTCCAGTGGCTGTGGGTGAAACAATGAATAAACAGCTTCCAGACAGCAAGGCAGCTTTAGAATAGACTAATTAGATCCGAGCTCATACGTAACAGGCTGAGGATGATCACTTATAGCAATACAAAGCCCTGAAAACAGTTCATTTCAATCCTTACAAACTGAGTAGGTATATGCCTGCAGCACAGCATACAAATTAGCATTTTTCTTCAAAACAAATAAGCAAGAAGATTCATATGAGAGATAGTTTGGCCACACTGTATCCCTTTATCAATGGCCAATTTTCTTCAGCGAGCCTTAATACAACCCACCAGGACTTATTGTGCCTCTGTGTTTACCCCTTTAACAACTTTCACTTACATGTATACTTTTTGCATTTTTGCTGCCAGCGACGATTTCTCAGCCTGGCTACAGCTTCGACAAAACAAATTTAAATTCTCCTTTCCATCGTCAGATGATATTGTACCATAGCCGTGCTGTAAAGACTATTTACACATGTAAGAGGAGCCTTTTACGATGCAGCGGCTGTTACAACACAACCGTACATCGTGTATAAGATTGATTGGGTTCCTACAGATTTCCCCACTTTTTAAAAATCAAAATGTTTTCTGGACTCATTTCTCTAGGTTATCGTTTTTAAAATGCCAAGATTTTAGTAACCAACTGGCCTGAACCTAGCACATAAAGAGACCTCACATCAGGTTAAACAATCATCATCTGTGGTTCAGAACTGAACAGTTGCACAATTATCAAATTGCCCTGCACAGGTTGTTATGTCTCCTCTTGTAAGCTACTAATCTCCATTACCCATTAAGAGGAAACAAAGTTAAGAAATTAGATTAACAGGATGACTAGAGGCAATTAAACAGTATTTACATCAACACTGATCAAAGTGAAGAAACAGTGAACATGGAAGAGAGCAGTTCACCTACTGTTACATTTCCCAAGTTCAGTGTTACTGTGAAGTAAACTAAACGCTTCAGGACAGGTAATGATAAACAGACCTCATGATCCTTGCAGACCTTCCTTCTCATAAGGAGGACGAGTGATTGCTATACAATGTTTCTAACCACAGGTCATCTCTTTGTAGCAAGTAATTACAATGACCTTAACTCCCCATCTATCAGAAATTTTAAGTAGTAACAACATCAATCTTCTTTCATTCAGGTACAACATTAGATTTTTATTTTTATTTATTTTTTTTAAATAGCCCTTTTATATGAACAGGCATAAATGGCATGGGAACAAAGTGTTAAAGAGAACTTTATTCGCAAGTCATTTCTGCTTCATGAGTAATTAAATAAGCAAATAATATCAAAGCATTACACATGATACAATAAACCTAATTACACAATGATAAGGTGTATGTATAAGGATTTGAGTAAGATGCATTTCAGACCAGAGTTGATGTTTCCTTTTAAACTACATGAGGCTGTACATACATCGACAAAACAGCTCATTATTCTTAGATGAGAAAGAAAAAAACAAAACAAAAAACAAAACGGAAAGCAGCAAATGTGCCGCTTCCCTCCCTGTGAAGGTTACATGTATGTAGTTTGGTATCAAACAGCAGTGATAGGCAGTCAGCCACTTACTGAAGTATCTCACACCGTTTCTCACAGTCCAGCATGACTAGGCGTGTGTGTAAAAGGGTGTGAATAGTGGTGGACAGTCTAAGAAGTTGTCTTCACTCTACTTACAACTACTACTGGCAAAACTTCTTCATGAGAGAATTTCTTTTTACTTGCAAAGTATGTTTGCAGATGCGCACAAATATTCAGTGTGTGTGTGTGTGTGGCGAGAGAGGCTCAAGGTTGATGAAACTAGCAGAAGCGGGATTTCTCGTCTATTTGATGAGCTTGTTGGCCCTCTGGTTTGCTTCATCAATGCGCAGCTTGTTCATGTCCGCCTAAAGACACAGACAGGTGGAAAGGGGCAGTTATACAGCTGTTTTTCCTTCCCCAAGTAGCAATTTATTATTAATTGTAAATTTTTATGAGTAAGTTTCCATTCTCTTCCTCTGTAAGAACATATGCATGTTTGTGAATGTTTTTACAAAAATCAGATATACATGAGGGGGTAACACCCCATCATATGGAGCAATGAGTCGACGCAGACATGAGCATCAACTACATACAATTCAATTGATTAAGGGGGGAGGGTAGAAAAACAAACAAAAAAACAACAACCAGCAACTAAGTGTTTTATGGATCAGTAAAGCAAATTTACTTGGACCCCTTTTTACATTTACTAGAGGTTCATGTGATTTTAAACCATTTTTACCTTGTCGTTGATGCGGTCAATCTGTTTGTTCTGCTTGTCTATCTCACTTCCCATGTCCACAGCAAGGTTTTTCAAGTTGCCAATGATGCTGCCGACTGCCTCCAAATTCTCCTCCATTTCATCTTCACGTGCATCATTGGTTATTCTGTTATACATATGCAAAGTATACATATGTTCTGTTAAAGTGACTGCAATAGTTTTGGCAACACCAAAAAGTTCAAGAGTTTTAGCAATGTAAAAAAACCAGGACAGTACCTCTGGATGTATGGGCCTGATGGTCCCGCAGCATTAACCTGGACAGCCTGGCCATTGCGGACGCCTGAAGGCTGCATTGAGACCACTTTTGAGCCATCTGCATCATTTTCACCTTCAGTTCCTCCAGTACCCCAGGTACGCTTATACCGTGAGTCATTCTCGATTGATGACACTCTGGAGCAAAAAAAAAAATCCCCAGCGTGTCAGAATGCACAAACAAATGCAGAAGTACTTAAGTTCAGTCACTGCAACAATTACAGATGTTCAGTAATAGCCATGAAACTCAAAAGATTCCCTACCTTATATCTTGATAATCAAAGAATCTTCTTCTCCAAAGTGAAAGCATTTTGGGAAGATTTTTTTTGCCATGTTAAAACCATCACAGCATCTCAATGTGCACAAAAAGTGACACTCCAAAATCATCGCTGCATGGAGGATTTTAAGTGCATTTAGCCCAGATGAGTATGCGGCTCACATTAAGAAGTTGGCTGGAACACCATCACATTTCCTATCTGTCCATATTTGATTGGTAATGCTCACAAATTTAATCAGCAATCTTCTCACCACGAAATGTACATTTGCCAAGCAGAGAGTTTTTTTTCTCCTTATGTCACACACACAAACATTGTGAGCCACAGCAGCCAATCATGTATTCGTGAGAAATGTTCCTGACTGACCACTGATATTGTGGAGATCTTTAAGCAAATAATATTCAATATTTTAAGAGTTGTAAGCAAGAGGGTCACAGAGCTAAAACATACATTTTCCTTGAAAGTGTAAACGAATAAAGCCCATGTTCACAACTTGCTGTATAAAGTTCACATTACATACGTTTACGCTCTAGACAGGACTGTCCAGAGCGTAAACGTGAATGTTTAGTATCCTTTGAAGGATTAATACTTAGAATACTCTCTAGATTCTCGGGAGAAATGCTGCTTGGGACACAGCTGCTGCCCTCTCATTCTAAAAAAAAAACCAAAACAAAAAAAAACCAACCTGCTTTGAATTTTTAAAAATTCAACCAAATATTCTGCAACAAAGTCCAGCTTTTGTATTAAGGAGCAAAACTGAAAGGTTTTATGCCAATGCAAACAGTAGCAAAGTAATTCAATTGTCACTTAACATACATAGAAGAAATTAGTGCAATTTCTACTTTTGTACAACACCAAAATAAAACTGGTTGTACTGTAAAATGCAGTTTTCACAGTTTTACACAGACTGCTTGTGTGTTTGCTTTGTATCATTGTGAACCCCCATAAAAACAGTCACGTACACACAATGAACATACAAGCCAGCACAGCACAAAAAAAGGGTGTTATGGATCCAAAAGTCAGTGATTTAGATCTCTCGGCAGCTCCAAGTATGCACTATACCTATCACAGGGGCAGACACAGATGCCACAGCACTTGGAGAGGTCGGTAAGGTTTTTCTCAGCCTGTCTCATGTCCTGGTTGATCTGGTCCATGCCTCGCTCCACACGGCTCAGCTGTTCTAAAACAGACAGGCACAGCACACCATGTCAAACTCTGCTTGCTATGCACTAGAAAACGGTTGTAAATTGTGTTTTAAATATCACCTTGATTTATTCATTTTTAGAATAGATTTAATTATACTAAATGA